GAGGGCGAGTACGTGTGAGGAGAGAGGGAGAGAACAGGAATTGTGGGAAACTCAGAAGGATGCTGAGGATGCTGCAGGGCAGGATGCTGAAGGGCAGGATGCTGTCTGGGGCGGGTCTGGGCGCTGCAGACCTAGCTCGGGGTCTCCTCCATCACTCGGGGTGCCCCGATCTTGGGCAGCGACATGGGCTGCTGGAGGGAATCCGGTCGACGTGTGCTGCCCTGACCATCCCTCCCAAAGGTCAGCTGACCTGAGGATGGAACGTTCCAGGATCCGCGTGCTCGCAAAGTCTGCATGGCCCCTGAGGGGTGTGGTAGGCAGGATGTCACCCTTTCACAGGACTCGGGCTAGACTTAAAACTAGACTGAAGCCCGACAGGCTCCGGAAGATGACATGCAAAGCGTGACCTGTGAGAGTCTGTGCAGCAACTCCCAGTTTATCCAGAGACAAATCTGGATGTAAAGGGTGCGGGTCATGAGAGAAGGGACGTAAAGTTGGATCGGGCCAAATTGATTGACACGGGCTCCCGAAGCAGAGACCCTGGACCCAGTCTGTAGACTGAGGGGGTTAGGAGGTCTGTAGATGTCTGGTTGGTCGACTGAAATGCGGACAGCAAGGTGGGCCCCACCAAATGAAGCCGAAATGCCAGAACCGCCTTGGCGAGCCGCGGAGGAAGGGGTCCAAAGGCTTAAGGACAGGAACCACTATGGCGGATTTCTTGTTTAAGACCTGCGGGCCCACCCTGGGATCACCGCGGAGATGACGAGTTTTTCAAAGGACGCTCCAGCATCCTCCCAAGGCCTTGTGGGCTCTTCTCTGCACTGCAAAGTACCGTAGGAACTTCTGGCACGGAACTGGGAAACCTAAACAGCAGGGAGGCCTGAGAGCAGGACACGGGAGGGGCCAGCGCCAAGGCCACCTGGCGATGGATGGAGGGAACAGGCTGGAAGGTGGGGGGCCGGGCAGGGGAGGGCGCCTGAGCTGCAGCCAGGCCAAGGGTACAGAGAGGAGGGACCGGACAGAGAGAGGCTGGGCGGGGGGCGCGCGTTGTTCTTCAGAGGATGAGGGGAAAGGGGGTGGGGGCTGTGGCGCGGGGTGCATGGCGGGACAGGAGAGCAAGGAGCGAGGAGTCGGTTCTCAGTGAGGGAGGGGGGCGTCGCGCGAGCAGGCGGCCGCCCTCGGCAGGAGTTCAAGGTCAGACGGAGGAGCCTTGCATGGCCGGCGGTTGACCCGGGGGCGTCGATGACCCAGAGAGGAGGAGGGGCGCGTAGAGAGGGGGCCCCAGGCCGAGGTGGAGGTGAGCGCCATGTGGGGAGATGCCCTCGCGAGACACGGATGTCCCAGGTCACCCCGCCAGAGTGGGCGGGAGGAGGGGCGCGAGCGCGGTGCGTCGGGGCGAGCGGACTGGCTGAGCCTCCGCTGCTGGCAGGGCGGGGCGGGGGTAAGATGCCCTCCTCCTCCCATAGCTCCCCTGGGGGAATCCAGGCCAGGGACACCGGGGCATGGCCGCCCGGCCCCGTCTTGCAGCCCCTCCCATAAAGGTTATGGCTTTTCAGGCCTGGGCAGGCACCAGGCTTAGAACCCGTCCCATCCTGCGCAGGGCGATCTGAGGTCAGTCCCTCCTGCTGTCTGTGCCTCTTCATTAGTTAAACACGCCAGGATGGACTCTGGACACCCGCTCAGGGCCCTCTGGGGTTCTGAGGCACTGCCCCACAACTCCGACTTCCCAAAGCCTTGGGTCGCCTCCAGAAAGCGGAATCCAGATTTCAAGCCTCGGAGCCCAGAATCCAGACGGCAAAACCCAGAAGAAAGACTCCAGGCTCCCTGACCTTGGGAGTTAGGAGAGTAGGACTCTCAGAATCACGGGGGTCAGGCCCCGGTCTCCTAGTCCGGCGTCTGGAATGCATCACGCACATTTGAAACTGCAGACGGTGCACTCCCACGCTGACCCACGTGACCCCAGATCCCGGATCGAGGTCCTAGGATCCGGGCGCCCACACTCAAACTTCAAAACCTGCCCTCGGGGCTCCAGGCCCCACACTTCACACAGCAATCGTGAAGGTTTCTGACCTGGGGTCCTCGTGACGCAGGACGGGGCAAACCCCCCAAGTGGTGGGGAGACGGGAAAGGTTCTTTGCTGAGGGCGAGGAAGACTCCAAAGGCCCGCCAAAGTTAGTCACAAAGAACGTTTATTACGGATGACGCCACAAACAGAGCGTGGTCTCCTCTGAGAGGCCACAGAGAGAGGCTCAGAGGGACAGGGACAACAGAGAGGGCCGAGGACAGCGAGAGAGACTGAGGGAAAGACCCCGAGTGTCCTGGGAATTCATACGGTGTTCTTCAGTTTCTGCGAATGACGGTTCACAGGCTTCGCTGGCTCATTTTCCTTCCGTGATGCGGGCACGCGGTGAGGAAGGGGACAAGTCTGTGGCACGGAAAAGTCAGGACATGTAGTGAGAAGGGCCCCCTGGTGGTTCCCAGCCTTCCGACCATAGGTTCTCTGTGGTTTTAGCCATCGGGGATGAATGATTTTATTTTGTGTAGGGCGCCGCTTAAAGACCATCCGCCCTTCCCACGTGCGGGCAAACGACTTGTCGGCCATCGCCGCAGACACCGGCCTTCATCCTGCTGGTGTCCTCGCCGTCCGGCTGTAGAGCTGGGCAGCACGTTGCAGTCTCTGAATACGGCTCGATTTGACATTTTCATTCTCGTGTGTCTTCTCCCTGTATTACTTGATGGCAAATACCGGACGCCAGACTTCCAGTTTGGACTCTAGAATCAAGGGCCCAACAGGATCTAGAATCCAAGACCAAGGCCTGTCACTCAAAGGCCAGACTCCAGGATCCAGGTGCCAGACCCAAACTCAGGAACAAAGACTGCTCCAGGATCCACACTCTAGACTCCGGGTCATGAAAGACCACCTCAAGACCCCCATATGCACGATCCAGAACTGGAGGTCCAGAGCCCAAAATCCAGAACCCAGAATTAAGAAGTCTAGACTTCTTAATTAAAAGGGGAGGTCCCGATCCAGAATCCAAGACTCGCGAGCCTTCTGCAGGCGTGAGAGGCCTGACCCCACATTCCAGGTGAGGGGTTCCAGAACCCAGGCTTTGGATTTGGGGTTTCCTCCCATTCTGGACTCTTGCCCTCTGGCCTCCTCCCCCTTGAATGCCCCTGGCAGGCAATTCCTCCTCGGAGACTCAGACAAAAGTTTCAGCCTAATAAATGCTTATTAGGTCTCATCCCCCCCACCCCGCCAGCCACCTAAGCGTCCCCCGCCTGTAAAGTCGACTCTCAGCCACCTCCTACCCCACCCCACCCAGCTCCCCAGAGACCTGGGTGAGGCTGGAAGCTTATAAATTCAGGCATTCGGGTGCCAGCTCCCTTTCTTCTGGCATTCAAGCTGCCCCAGATGCTGCTGGAGGATCTGGAGGGGGTGAGATTTTTGGGACAGGAGTGAGGGTGGGGTCTGGGGGGGAGACAGGGTCTGTCCCAGACCACCCTGAGGGAGTTGAGTGTCCAGGACACTTGGGTACGTCCGTGTGTCCTTTACTGGGACCTGGGGTTGACCCTGAACCAAGAGACTGTCCTGGAGATGCAAGCAGGAGGCTGTGGGGTGGGGTGGGGGAGGGGCGGGATGAATCGGGGGTGCCCTCGAAAGCACCCGTACTGGAGCCGAGAACAGGGTCAGGCTTTACCACGGCTTTCGGGCAGCTCAGCGCAAGTCCCTGAGGCATCGCGTGTGCCGGGCCCCAGGACATGGAGAGAAGCCGATCTGATCATCCCCGGGCATCTGTGCCATGGTGGAGGCAGAACAGGCGCTGAGCGATTCAGCGGATTATTTGTTGGGCGTCGGGGCCTCCCCGAGGAGGTGGGGGCTGAGCCGCAGAGGGAAAACACGAATTCGGAAGATGAATTTAGAAGCTCGTTGAGCAGTGTGGGACATCCCCTTGGGAGTTCTCGGTCTGGCGGGGGAGGCAGACACCGCTGGCTGGGGGAGGTCCGGAAAGGCCTCGAGGAGGCAGTGGACCTTGAAGGGAACGGCATATCTGGAGGGTGGAACAGCCCGAGCAAAGGTGCGGAGGCAGGAAACTGCAGGAAGGAAAGCGGAAGGGTGGGCTGCGTCTAGAAGGGCGAGATCGTGAAGGGGAGGCCGGAAGGGGAGAAGCCGCTCCTGTCCTGGGGCGTGAGGCTCGGGGGCTCGGACTTCATCTTAGGGGTGCCGGGAATTCGTGAGAGCGGTGAGGAGGCATAGGGCAGGGTCCACTCCGGGTGCATAAAGACCCTGTGGGGTCAGGCGGGGGGCAGGTGGGGGCCGTGGAGGGACGGACCGGGGTGAGGCAGGGACCTCAGAGGCAGGATAAGAGGCTGGAACGGGGTCTGGGGAGTGAACATATCCTGAGCCAGGGCCTTGGGGTGGAGAGTGTCCAGGGCAGGCAGATGGAGTGGCGCTGGGGTTCGACAGGCTGAGGGGGCACTTGGGCGTCCGTCCTGGTGCCTGGAGGAACGGCAGACCCTTCAGACATGGAGGACCAAGGAGGGCCCAGGTTGGGGGTGGGGTGGAGGACGAGAATGGCGAGAAGAAGCTTCTTAAGCACCAGGTAGGATGAGTTTGTATCTGGAGGGTTCCAGGTGAGGGCAGGGGGCGGGGGGTGTCCAGCCTCACCCCAGTCCACATCTCCCCTCCCCAGACT